TCTGGCTGGCAGAGATTCCTCACTGAGAAATTGCTCCTTACAAAGGAGATAGCCCTAGAGGGGAGACGTGCTAACAGCCTAGAGACAGAAAATCCACTCCACAAGGCCTGTAAATGATAAGGGAAGGTGGCAGGCTGGTGGTGGGGGCTGCTTCAGACAGCATGCCTGGGCTCAGACACCCCTGTTTCATGCTTCTGGGTGATCTCAGGAACCACGGGCTTTCTGTCCTGATGCGTTCTGGCCTCTTAAGGAGTAGGGCTCATGTTGTTGTATGCATTTTTTGTGCCCAGACTTCTTGCATGCCTGCTTGAAAGGGGGCTTTATGGGGGAGACAGAGATGTGGAAAGAAAAACATAAGAAATGGATGACATTGTCCATTCCCACAAGGAGCCTACAATCTAGCTGGTAAGCTGAAATGAATATATAACAACATAAATTTGCATTTGATTAATACAATTACATTTTCCAAACGCTTTCAAAAATTTTCTCTTGAAAGTAATTTCAAACATACAGAAAAGTTTTAAGAATAAGAATAGCAGAGTGAATAGTCCATGTATCCTTTACTCCAATTCATTCATTATTAACATTGTATTAAAATTTTATCTCTCTTGCTTTTTCATTTGTTATCTATCTATAATGGGGTGTGGACTGATTTTCTAAAATATTTAAAAATTCATTACCATCCTTATTTTGGGGCTCAAAATATCCCAGATTTGGCTAGTGGGAGGTCCTTCTCTGCCTCCTATGTCTTTATGGCGTGCCCACATCATGTTTGTTTTTGTTTTGTTTCTTTTGGAATACTTCTTTACTTTCTTAGTCTTGTACCTACCCTGCCCCAGCCCTGGAATCAGCCATTTCTCCAAAGACTCCTGGTCCTTTTAATGGGGAATGGTATTAGAGACAAAGATCTGGGTGCCAGGTGTGCTTGTAACTACTGGAGTGCCTTCGTTTCTAGATCTTTTCCCAACAGACAGAGCTAGGAAATACATGCATTTACATACACATACACATACATGTACTTACGTTGCTACATATAGTCACACACATACATTTTTTAGAGGTCATCAATACCTCCAATTCCAGTCCATCCCCAGAGGGTTCTTTCTAGTCTTCCTCCTTTCCATATCTCTATATCCCTCCTTCCACAGTGAGAACCCTGGCTCACAACAACGTTGACACATTTATTCATTTGTTAAATCCTGTAATACATCTAAAATAATTTCAGCACTGTTTCGTCCATGTCACTACAAAAAACAAACCTCCTACAAAGAGTTCAGCCTTTGTTTGTAGTCCTTCCTTCACTCAGTCCTGCCAGAGATGGAGGGTGTGCAGTCAAATGTCCATGAGCTACTCAAATTAGTTTTGTCTTTCTCCTTCAGTGTGGTTGTGGTATCGTTGGAAGGACAATCATTCGTTTCAATTCACTTCCAGTTTAGGGGTATTTTTCCTCTGTCCCATCCTTGTTGATTTAATTTTAAAAAATTTTAAGGTGTAGAACATTAATGTAATTCTAAAAGTCAAAACTATAGAAAAAGGTATACTTAGTACTGTCGTTCCATCATTTATCTCCCCGACTCCGTTGTCCCCATCCCTTATTTTCTGCTTTATCCTTCAGATACATCCTGCAGTAATATGTATGTTTTCCCATTTCTTCTTCTTTCGTACATAAACAGTAGCATACTACTATATGTACCTTTTTGTCCAAGCCTTGTTATATCTCTTTTCTTTTGGTGGAATGCACCATAAAGAAAATTCTGATCTGGAACAAGTAGGCTTCTATTACATGTGAGTTGTCGGGTTTCTAGTCACTTGCAAAAGTCTGATGGTTTCTATCAATAGCTTTGTTAAATCAACTTTTGTATAGTGACTATTATTTAATCCCGTAGTGATGGGCTTCTAGAATGATGAATTCTTATGCAAAATGGAAAACAGTTTTGTTTTGTTTTGATCAGCCACTGAGGCTAATACAGATTCAGTGGACACAGGTGAGATGTTCTGGAATGGAAGGTTTGTTGTGATGGGAGTGAGTTAATTTCAACTGAGCAGATAGCGGTACTGGGTCAATAGGGCACTTGCTGGTCCATCAAGGTCACTCTGAGCCCTGGGATCCCACGTGTCCTTTTGTGCTTCCCTCAGTTCTGCTGGGGTCATGCAGCCTTGAGCCCATTCAGAGCTGTTGGCAATTTTTCTCCCTTGAGTATTTGAGAAACTTCTTCCAATTCTCTTTTTTTATGCCCAGATTCAACAACTAGATATTATACATTTGAACTTCACATTTGTATAGAGCTTTGTGATTTTCAGAGTATCTTATTGAATGTCTTACTTAATCCCTGTGAAACAGTAGAACAGGTATTATGTCTGTTTTGCAGGTGAGGAGACTGAAGCTCAGAAGAGAAATGTGACAGAGCTGGGACCAGAATCCAGGTCTTCAGACTTAGAGCCCAGTGTGGTCTAGGAGGACCAGGGGGCAACTGGGTTTATTACAGAGATCCCACCTCCCTGCACCTTTTCCTCCACCCTGTCTCATGGCCGACAGGAAGAGATTTATGCCTGTGAATCTCAGTTCTGTCCCCATCAGTAAATGTTACTGCCTCTAAGTGTTAGTTCATTCAAAACTGTCTAAAATCAGGTCAGAGGGTTTATATTAACAGCTTTGTTTTATCGTAATAGTGACTATTAATTTATAGATTAGATTATTATATTTTACATTATGTTTATAGATATTTTATAGAATAGATTGTAATAGTACTATTATTTTAAATAAATGGGTCATAAGTCAGGACTTGGCAGTGTTTTTTTATTCTCAGAAACTTTAGTCAAAGTAGAGTTTTACCTATGCATGCTTTACTGGGTCCCAGCAACCAAGAATGTGCAAGAGTGATCCAGCACATTAGAGAGGGACTTTTTGTATTTCTAATGTAAAAGAAACTTCATAAAATATGATAATAAAGCAAAATCCCCTTTTATAAAGCCCTTAAGTTTTGCAGGGTAATTCTTTTACTATCTTTGTAGTTTTTTTCAAGAACTCAGATCAGCTATGAATCCAGAATAAGAATACCGTTTGTATATGATCATGTAAATTTAGTACTCCAAGTTCAGAATCAAAACAGGTACAAAGATTTGTAGTTGGATACTTTGGTAAACAATAGAATTGAAGGGCCACATACTTGTTCTTTACAATGTATTTAAGAAAACAAACTATATAATGCATTCTCATGTTGACACATGACACTCCAGGGCCTCCACTTGTTCAGGGCTGTGATTCTGGATGGAGTGTGACTTTTTCAGAGTTCAGATGAATTTGGTGAACCTGCCCAGGACTGAGTTATGCATGCCCCCTATCTCAGGAAGCCTGGGAGGCCTAGAAGCCCCAGGTCATTCTCAGGCTGTGGTTTGTGTGAGCAGCAAGACACTGCCTGTGAAGGCCCTTCTTTTTTGAGACAGGAAGGTATTCTCCCCAGGAGGAAAGGTCCCTGGGCTGGGAGTGCAGCAGTTGTGTCTGGGTCTTGGTCAACTTGAGCTCATCCTGTAAACCCCCTGGAGTCAGCTCCTCTGTGAGCTGGACCCAGGATGCCCCAAAGCCTTGCACCCTCCTCACTTCCCAGAGGGTGAAGTTGGGGACAGACCAGCCCTAACAGAGCCAAGGACAGCTTCCAGGGCATCTGAAAAGTGGGTGATTTAGGAGCAGTGTGTGGCATCCTTTCTAACTGTGGGCAGGGTATGGCACCTTGGCAAGCATTCCAGTTTCTTATTGGAAGTATCAGTGTCCCTGGATGTTCCCGTATCTGTTCCGCACTCTGACAGCCTAGAGTTGAGGGAGGGGAGGGAGGGGTGAGAATGGGGGTTGGCTTTATGTAGGCAGGTCATTTCCCCCTTGGGTTGGGTCAGCGAAGTCCCTGAGAGGGAGATGTGCCGGCTTTGGATTGGAAGGAAGACAGATGTACCTCTGTCAGAATCCAGGGGTCTCTGTGTAATCTCATCTTTTTAATTGTACTTACTAAATCCATAACTTGCATAATTTGGCTCCCATAACAATTCACGGTTGGAAATGCAGATGGTTCCTTGTATATGAAAATGGGATAATCATCCACCTGACTCTCAAACTTGCCTGAGCAAAAGTGGGATTCTGTATACATGCATAGTTAAAGGATTGCAGACATGAACGGTAGAGTGAACAACGAACAGTTGGGAACATTTACATGTCTGCCAAAGCCTTTCCAGGCAGGTGTTCCCATAAATGGGCAACAAATCGTACTGCCTCTTTGCCTCCTGCAGGGAGGACTTTTGGGGGAAAGATCATGGCAAGAAGTGAGAGTTAAGACAAATGGCAGTGCTTCCCCAGTGCTCCATTTCCTGTCTGGGAAGGGGGAACGGGGCTGTGAGGTCGGTCCGCCCTGACCCTGTCCAGTGCTCTGGCCAGAACCTGCAGATGGTGGGGAGGGTAGCATGGTGTGGGCCCCGGGCAGGAGCCCCTGAGGGCTCTTGGTTGGGACAAAGGGGTCAGCACACAATACAGATGCTAAGTTTTGTCTGAATGTATTGCAGGAGCCCTAAACTTGGTGCTCTCTTCGGCCAAGCTTGGCCCTCCTGGCTCCTTTCTCTTTGACGTGTAATGCCAGCTCTCTGAGGGGGGTCTGGGGGAGGTGGGACATCTCTGAGTTCAGGCCCCCAGCGGGGGGTGTCAAGAGGCCTGCCATGGCAACACGTGGTGTTTTGGTCTAGGCTCCTTGGGACTGCCGAAATCCTGAGGGAGTTCCTTTTCTAAGAGACAGTGCATGTGTGTTGGTGTGGTCTCTGCAACTCTGACACCCACAGTCTTGCTTGGGAAGACACTGTGCTATGTCCTGTCCACGTGTGTGGCCCCTGTTGCTGTGCTCGTGTGGCTGTACACAGTGCTCTGTGTCCTGCCACAAGACTGTTGTGCAGCGGGGCAGATGGCTTATGGTGCGGGTCCCCGAGGATGTCCTGATGTGTGCTTGTTCTCTTTACCTATCCCTCAGAGAGTTCTCAAAGGAAAGAGAGAAGGCTAAAGCGCGGGGAGATTTCCAGAAGCTCCGGGAGAAGCAGCAGCTAGAAGAGGATCTGAAGGGCTACTTGGATTGGATCACTCAAGCAGAAGATATTGATCCTGAGAACGAGGAGGAAGGCGGAGAGGAGAGCAAACGCAATAGTACGTAGCGCTTGCTGCTCCTGACCAGACAGAGCTTGTGTGCGACTCAGGCACCCGGCGGCAGGCAGTCCTCACCTCTGACCCTGCCTGTGAGACCGATGGGCTCCTCTCAGCCATCTGTTCCTTCTGCCTGCACATCAGAGAGAATAAGTGCATTTACACCCACTCTGAATTTCTGCCTGAGGTATGGGTGTTAGATTTTTAGGTGGTCTCGTGGCTCTGTGGTTGCAGAAGGTCAACCAACTCACTGATGGCCCCAGGAGTTCAGTCAGCTCCTTCTCTGTGGGCACAGGGCTTAGGAAGACACACATTCGCCTTGCACCACGGGAGACGAAGTTGTGGTTCCTTCACCTCAGAGTCAGCAGTGTTGTTGGACGAGAACTTGAAGAGCAGAGTCCCTCCCCACCCTTCTGCCACCTGAAGTGGCTCCCCGCTGTGCTAGCCATGGGAAGCCACATGCCTAGCCCGTCAGGGGCTGGGAAGACGCCAGGTCAACGTTCTGGGCAGTGTTAGGAGGCATGAGTGGCTGCTTTGGAGTCCACCCACCTGGTACCCCACACAGTGGCACTAGGCACCCTAGAGCACTTTCTGTATCAGGAAGGCCCGATGCTCAGTCAACCTCGGGAATTAATTGCCGTTGTCAACCAAGGTGTCGCTTTTACTGTATACTTTCCCGGCAGATGTGCTCTTACTCCTCCTGGGGCCATCTGTGCCTCAGGTGAAAGTGGAAATTGAAATTCAGCAGTGGATTTGTCTAAGATGTTTGTGATTTGTTTCAAATCTAGAATAGTTGATAGTAAAGACTGAGAACATATTTTAAGGGTGCACGTCCATTAAGAGGCCTGGGAAACCAAGTTAGCCCTCCCTTGTGGATGATAGCTGAGTGCGCTTCCCTCGAGCAGAGTGTCTAAGATGCTGTGCAGTCACTCCTTCATTCACCCAGGCCGGGTGCTGGATGCCAGGAGGACTCTTGAGATGGAGAAGACATGGTTTGCTCCTTCTGCGGAAGGGCAGGTCTGCATGCAAGGAAATGCAGCACAAGGAGACAGAGATCAGGTCGCAGAGGAGGCAGGCAGTGTGGTGGGGGGCTGAGAGGAGGAAGGGCTGGCTGCAGGGTTCTGGGAGAGGGCTGTGGGGGCATTGGCCTTGGGCCTTGAAGGATGGATAGATCTGAGATGTCACAGCTCTGTGTCAAGAGAAACATTCTGAGCCCAGGCAATGGTGTGAGGGGGCCATGGAGATGGGCAAACGCAAGGCTCAGGCAGGAAGCGGCAGGTCATTCCTTTGGCTGGAGCATAGAGGGTATGCAGGTCAGGGAGAGACGAAGCAGGGATTGTGGGTGAGGCCAACTTGTGCCGCCTCTGTAGGCAGGGGGGTGTGGAAGCTGAGGCTGGGGCCACGGTGGAGGGGATTCCTAACTGAGATGGCCTGTAGGTTTCTTCTAGCTGGGACGGTGTGAGTGAGGGTTTGCAGTTACCACAGGTGCATACAATTGACTCAGCCCTGTGTGCTAATGGGGAAGCCAGCAGAGTGCAGCCTGTGTCCACCCCTCCTCCTCCCCCTCCCCGCTTTTTCCCAGGCGCACACCCACTGCTGCCTCAAGGAAGAGGCCAGGGTTCACCTGAGGATCAGGAAACTGCGGGAGGGTTTCTGGAGCTGACTGCATTTGTTGACTGTGAGATCAGAGTTTATAAGTGGACGTTTATTTACATTGCACACTCGGTGATGTCCTTTAGGTGATTAGGTGTAAGAAGAGCGTCTAGGGGCCTCCAGCACAGCTCTGCCCTGGGTGTTTGAGCCAGCCTGAATCCCATGGCCTTCGCGGAGCTTCTGCACCTGCGATGTGGCCAGAGCAAGGCCTTCACATGCAGCTTGGGGGATGCTCACCCTGCTCTTTCCTCTTCATTCCCGAGCTGCAGCTTTGAGGCTGACCTGTGGAGGTCTGCCCGACATCTGCCCGCCTCTCCTGAGCCCAGCATGTGGCGTGCTGTCTGTCAGTCAGCAGAAGTCTTGTCCCTTCCTCTGAGCAGAGCGCCTCTCTTGACTAGCTCAGATGTGTCTTATAGGCGGCTGAGTGTGGGTATCTTGCAGGCCTATGTCTTTCATCTCTTTACTGCTCCCTCTGCAAATGGACAGGGATCCGTGTCAGTGTTGCCAACATCAGCTGTGGTGGAGTTGTGTTTGTGGCCTGTGATTTGAGGAGTAGGGATTTTCGTTTCCTGTGTCCTGCCACTGTCTGTAAGAACCTGACCACAGGATGACTAAACCAGTGTCGTGGCCTTTGGAGACCTGGCCGGGAGGGAAGACAGAGAAGCAGTGCCTTAGTGAAAGACGGAGTGGAGAAGCTGGCACCGTCATCAAGGGCCAGCAGTCTGCTGTGGGAGCCTGGAAGGGTGCAGCGGTGCGGGCTGGTGGGTTGCAAGGAAAGAAGGCTCCCTGGAAGAGGCAGCATTCCCGCTGAGCTCCTTTGGCTGCAAAAGGTGGAGTGGGGGGTGCTCTTCAGGCTGAGGAAATGGCATCAACCAGGTGCAGAAGGCTACAAATGTTCAAAGCCCTTAAGAGCATTACTTAGTACTATAATCAAGGAAAGAAATAAGGCCCCTTTAAAAGTTGTAGATCCTCAGAATTCACTTTGTAAGTGACCCCATAGAGCTGCACCGTGTCTCGGGGACGTCAGCACTGTGGTTTCTGCTGCGTGCAGTGATGTGCGACTCATCGTGCGTAATCGGCTTGATGTTTGATCCAGAATAGCACGTACTTCTGTGCTGCACCCTTGTTCTTTATCTAGCTGGGGTTTCCTGTGGAGCGAGGCTCACAGTAGTTCCCGAGTCATCAGATTCCCACAGCCTTGATGATTAAGGTTTGAAATAAAGACATACGTCCCAGGCTGTGGGACCATGTTCAGATTTAATTGACTTAAGGAGAGAGCTCCAAGTCTTCTCCCAACAAGGAAGTGAGCCTGCCTGAATATATTCCTCGGCAGCCCAGACCTTCTGGAGAAGCAGTGCTGCTGGGGTTCCCCTGGGGCCTCCCGTGGCTGCCAACCATTTTCTTCTCATCACAGCTAGAAACCACAGGGGGAGAGAGTTTCAGAGGTGCCCCCATGGTCCTCCTCACCAACAAACAGTAGTGGATTTACCACCTGCACATGCCAGGTCTGACTGCTGTCATCTGTTAGCAGTCAGTGAAGTGTGGGCATTGTTGGTGCCAGCGTCCTCCCTGGGTGTGTTAATCCAAAAATCCATGCCCACACCTTATACCCCCGCCCTGCTCCTGCATTCTCTGGGGAAGGGGATAGGGCATCTTTACCCATACTGCTTTAGGAGGCTAACTCCACTGTTTGCCCTTTTCAGCTGGGGCCGGGATGGCATTGGGACAGGTTCCTCCCAGACATTGAGGAATTAAGTGATGGTGTGAGAAGAAGCCCTTCCTGATGGCTGAGCCTCAGCCTAGATGAGCTAAGGGGTGGATAGGAGGCCATTAACAGCAGCAGATGTCACGAGCCCATGGGAGGAGGGGCTGGGCTGGATGATGTTTTGGAGGACTTGAGTGTTAGGCACATTACCCAACATCTCCAAGCCCTCGTTTCTTGGTCCACAGGAAGGGGATAAAGATATTTGCCCATAGGGGTGTCAGAGGATTAAATGTTCTGTATCTGGTAGGAGTCACCATAGCTGTAGGAGTACTTGCTGCTGCTGTTGTCATCAGACTCCAGTAAAACTCGACCTAAACAGAATAATTTTTCACAGATACTACTAGACCTCTATCCAACCTCAGGATGAGGACCCCTTTTAGGACCACGTCCCCATACTTTCCTATTTAGAAACTATAAGGGTCTCAAGTATTGATGGAAAACAAACCTGTTGACTTGATCGCTGTCAAGATGTGGTAACACAGCTTTCTGGCTCCTGAAGCCCATTTCTAGTGTGTCGGTGCTTGCTGTCAGAGAACAGATGTCAAATTAAGTGCTTGGAGATGTGCTCACATTATCTTTTCTCTCTCATCTACTAAATGTCGCTGTCTGCATCTGTGCTACCCAACTCTGGCTGTACATGACAATCACCTGGGGAGCGTAAGTGCATCCTGATGCCATACCCCACCCCCACGCTTATTAGCTGGTCTGGGGTGGGACCAGGCAGTGGCTTCATTTACAGCTCCCTGGAGGCTCCAGTGTGAAGCCAGGGTTGGGAGCTCCTGGATGCTATCACACTGACTATCACACTGTTGCAGGCTTTCACTTGAAAGAAGACAAAAGGAGAGGCAGTCAGGCCTCTCCCTGGGCTGTCTCGTGGCTGCGGTGTCTGGGAGCTCCAGCTTTGTGCGTTCATGGACTGACATGTCAGCTCCCTAATTTTGTTGTTAGAAATCTGGTGTTACACAATTAATTGAGTGGACAAAATTCCCTGGGAAGTTAGTTCCCGAGCGTTTGGGAAATTTTCAAGGATAATTTATTTAACTTTTTGCTGAGCTTCAAGTTTCTTAAGAAACTCTGCCAAATCTCAAAGTGATTTTTCAGACGTACGCAGCTGCTTCTGAGTTAACAATGGAGTTTTTCTAGGCCCATTAAAATCTGGAAGCCTAAAATTCTATTTTAAACCCTTCTCATTGTCAGTGATTAGTCTTTAAAAAAATAGCATTAGAAATAATGAAATCATTTTAAAGGAAGCTCATTCTAAAATTCTGGCCAGAAAAGCAGAGCAGTTTCACTGTAGGAACTCTTAATGGTCTGTAATCCCTGTAAGGGGGGATATTTGCTACCCAGACAAAGGGATGGCAATACTGGAAACTCCAACTCAGACCACAAGGAGAGCCTCTCTGTCTCCCCTTTGTCAGCGGTCCTAGAGGCTGTGAGCACTGCCCCTGGTTGCCTCCCACTGGGACTCTGCCCCCCAGGTCTCGTGTACAAAGTTGCCATAGCCACCGCCTCCCTTCCTTGCGTGCCACTCGGATGCCTGTTACTGTGATGTTTGATTTGGGGGTGGGCAGAAAACCAAGGATGG